ATAGGGCAGCAGGAAGTCTCAGATTTGAATAATAGAATATAGATTAAAAATAAAAATAATAAAGCCTAAGAGACACGTGGGATCACGATAAAATATTTATGACATTGTCATTCTGGAAGAATAAGAAAAAGGCTTTAGGGATGATCGATTATTTGAAAAAATGTTTCCTGAAACATTTCCAAATTTAGCAAAAGGTATGTATGCCTACAGGTCCAAGAAACAGCAAATCCCACATAGGATGAGACCTGTGAAATCCACAGTAGGATGCTGCAAAATATAGTTATGTCCGAAATTAAGGACAAAGAAAAAAAATTGTACATAAAGTAATATTTGAGAAAAAGAATAAAGATGACTAGACACAGGTAGCATGTGCCTTCTCAATGGAGATTGAAAATAGTAAGTAGATACTCACATTTTGAACAGATCGTGTAAAAGAAAATGCTAGGATTCACCAGGGAAGGGATTGGAAGCACCAGAGGTGTAAGTAAGGAGAGGGTTTTTGAGGCAGCTTTTCCCATTCGGACTGACAGAGAACCAGGAGAGGCCCTTGGACGCAGGGCAATGGAGCGAAATCGCCAGGAGGTGGCTTTTACAATGTTGACTATGGGAGAAACCCTTGGTCCACTATGTCTTGGGCCTGACCTAGGTGTTGCCTAAAGATTGTAAAGAGCTGTCACTCCAGAAAGGGAACTCACATGAAATCCCACAGGCATTCAAGCAGCCTCAGCCAGGAATCTACAGACATGGCTGTTGTTGCGGTGCTGTTCCAAGGAGGAAGAGGAGAGACTGGGTGCTCCCACACACTGTGGGCTTCTATTGAGACTGATAAATGAGTGGAGCAAGTGTAAGGTTGGCCGAAAAGGAGCACACACTCTATGATCAGGCAAAGGAGTTTATTAAAGTAAAATGCCTGGGCTGATACCAAAGTAGCATCAGTTTGACTTGAAGCAGGGAGAGTCTTTTATATGCGAGTAGGGTAAGGAGGCCAGGCGGGAACGGGACATTTTCACAAGCGGTTAAGCTCGGGGTAGCGGGAGGGGCTTCATGGGAAGTAAATTGGGTCTTCCCTTCCCATCTCTGTGTGCCAGCTCAGGGGTGGGCGGTAGGGGCTCCTTGGGAAGTCGGTTGGGTGTTCCATTCCCATCTCTGTGAGCCTGGGGTTAGGGGCTCCTTGGGAATTTGATGGAGTCTTCTGATCCCATCTCTGTGAACCAGCTCAAGGATTAGAGCAGAGTATTCCTGTTCTGGACATTAGGACAGCCCTGAGGGGCAGTTAGAGCAGGGCCTTCCCATTTTGTAATGTTAAGGCAGCCTTGAGGGGCAGTTTCCTGTATCCATTAGTGGATCACATTTATTGACTTATGACTTGTGTATGTGGGGTCATGCTTGCATTCCTGGGATAAAACCCACTTGGCTGTGGTGAATTTTTTTTTTAATGTGCTGCTGAATCCAGCTTGCAAATATTTTGTTGAAGGCCTTTGAGGCTATGTTCATAAGGGATATTAGTCTGTAGTTTTCTTTTTTTTGTTGTTGTGTCTTTTCCTGGCTATGGTATCAGAGTGATACCTTGCAGATTGGCCTTGCAGAATGAGTAAGTGAAGATTCCCTCCTCTTCAATCTTGTGGAATAGCTTCAGTAAAATTAGTACAGTTCTTCTTGGAAGGCCTGGTGGAATCCAGCTGTGAGTCCATCAGGTTCTGGACTTTTTTTTGCCAGTCAACTTATAATTACTGTTTCAATCTTGCTATTCATTATTGGTCTGTTCAGGGTTTCCATTTCCTCCTGGTTCAAGGTTAGTGGGTTATCTGTTTCCAAGAATTTATCCATTTCCTCCAGATTGTCTACTTTATTTGCATAGAGGTGTCCATAATAGTCTTAAATGATCTTTTGAATTCCATTGTATCAGTCGTAATGTCTCCTTTTACATTTCTGATTGCACTAATTTGAGTTTTCTCACTTTATTTCTTGATTAATCTAGCTAGTGGTCTATCAATTTTGTTTAGTTTTTCAAAGAACTAACTTTATCTTTCATTGATCCTTCATATTTTTAAAATTTCAATTTCATTTAGTTCTGCTTTGTTCTTTGTTATATCTTTTCTTCTGGTAGCTTTGGGTTTGGCTTGCTTGTGTTTTCCTAGTTTTTTGAGTTGTGATGCTAAGTTGTCAATATGCAATCTTTCAATCTTATTAATGTAGGCCTTAAGTACTACAAATTTTCCTCTGAGCACAGCTTTGACTATGTCCAAGGTTTTGATAATTTTATTGTTGTCATTCACTTCAAGGAATTTTTAAATTTCTGTCTTGTTTTCATGTTGATCCAAGGTTCAATTTAGGAGCAAATTGTTTAAGTTCCATGTTTTTGTTTGGTTTCACAAGTTCTTCTTGGAGTTAATTTCTAGTTTTCTTCCATTGTGATTTGAGATAGTGCTTGGTATAATTTTGATATTTTTGAATTTATTAAGACTTGATTTGTGACCTACCATATGCTTCATGTGCTGATGAGACAAGCGTATATTCTGTAGTTTTAGGATGAAATGTTCTGTAGATATCTCCATTTGTTCTAGAGACTGGTTTAACTCCAGCATTTATTTGTTGACTTTCTGCCTTGGTGATCTGTCTATTGCTGTCAGTGGAGTGTTGAAGTCTTCCACTATTATTGTACTGCTGTCTATCTTTTTTCAGGCTTAGCAGAATTGCTGGGGGTTCTGGTGTTAGGCACATAAATATTTAAAATTGTTATGTCTTCTTGTTGGATTGATACCTGTATCATTATATAATAGCCATCTTTGTCATTTTTTACTGTTGGTAATGTAAAGTCTGTTTTTCTGGTATGAGAATGGCTACTCCTGCTTGCTTTTGGTTCCATTTCTGTGGGATATTTTTCTCCACCCCTCTACCTTGAGTCTGTAGGAGTCTTTGTGAGTTAAGTGAGTCTCTTGAAGGCAGCAGATATTTGGATTGTGTGTGTGTGTGTGTGTGTGTGTGTGTGTGTGTGTTATTCATTCTGCCAGTCTATATCTTTTTAGGGGGGTATTGAGACCATTTACATTGAGAATTAATAATGACAGGGAATGTACTATTTTATTCATCATACTGGTTGTTATCCAGTTGCTTTATTTATTTACTTTATTGTGTTGTTGTTGCATAAAGCCTGTGAACTCTATGATTTCCAGCATTTTTCTGCTGGTGGACTTCTCAGTTTCCAGAAGTGGCAGACTTGTGTTGTGTTTATGCACTTGCTCATGGCATCTTAAGTGCCAGAGTGGCTTGGAACTTTCCAGCTAACATGGATTGTTAGCTGGCACTTGGCTATTGTAGCCAATATGGTGAGATATACTGTTGACCTCTGGCCAGGAGGTGACAATTGAAGGAGAAAACCATCTGTGATGGTGGTTATAGGGTTTCTCCTTGGTAAGTGTTGCTCCAAGACAATGGCCAGCCTGCCTAGACCAAGGGTGGGGCTCTGGTGATTTCCCATGTCTTCTGTCTTGAACTTTCCAAGGTGGTACAGGGGAAAGCTGCTGAAGCATCCTGCAAGTGTGCACTTTCAGCTACCCAGGTAGAGATTAGGAGGAAGTGCCAGTCTACTTGGGTAATGCTGTTATGCAGGCCCAGAAACATTTACTAGGGTAGTGAGAGGGTTGTTATGGCAACATGTCCCACCTGGCTCCCCCCTTGGCCTCAGGCAATATGTGATTTGAATGTCAAGGTGCAGCTGGCCTCAGGACCCCAGGTGTTCTCAGACAACCCACCCATCCAGGAACTGTCTGCAGCAGTGGATTTTGTCCTTGGGGCTCGTTCCCTCTCAAGATGGCTGGAAAACAGCTACTCCACCCCTTGCAAGGGTTGAGTTCCTGGGAAGTGGTGGCTGGCATGGCCCAAGGCTTTTTTTCCTGTACTTTTCCACAACAGAGCATGGCTATGGGGAAGGCACTTTGCCATGAGGGACCCTCAGGGAGCCCTGCAGGTTTACAGCAGGAGTACGGAACTCCAGAATTTTCCTTACTCACCTTTCCCACTGCATTCAGAAGCTGTGGTGAACTGTGGTGATGTAGCCAAGTGTTTGGCCAATTCCAGCGCAAGTCAGTGGATTTTTTTCTTCTTTTTTTGCTCTAAGTGGTTATCATCACTCCTTTGGAGACTGGTGAGGTGTGCTGCTGGATCCATTCCTCTCTGGGAGATGAGGAAACTCTACGTTGGTTTACTCTTTAGGACAAACTCACTCTAGCTGCCTCATGTCATTTATTTTAATCTCTTTTCCCCATATTTGTTTTCTGATGGAGACTTTGTAGGTCCTAAACAGACTCTAGGTGAACTGATGTTTCTCTACCCATGTATATGCCTTGGTGTGTGGAGAAGTGAAAATATATCAGCAAGAGGGAAATGGAGAGAGGGAAGAGTGAAGCAAAAAAAAAAAAAATTCTCTTAGGAAAACTCAACTAAAGTGAAAATAGAACAGCAATTTTGGATTTTCCCAAAGGACAACAAGTATTCTAGAGATCAGTTTATACATGGCAAAAAAAAGAAAAATGCACCTAACAAAATAGATTTCTATGACCAGAAGCTCAGTTCGAGCAATTCATGTAAGGTTGAATAGATGCTGATGACTATCTGGGGTCTCTGAGGTTGGCCCTACCATGCAATACTTTATCTCAATATTCCAAAACCCTGAATGAATAGGACAGAGGAATCATGAGTGATTGAAGAGGTGTAGGCTGTAGACATCCTCTTTTGAGATGGGAGCCATTAGTGGAGCTGTGGGCATCTGAGGATGGGCAGGAGCATTGGGTGATGGAAGGTAATCAGCTTTGGATGTAACCACCTCCAGAGTTGAAAGCGGTGCAACTGCTTCCTTCATGTGCCTCTTAGAGAATCACGGTGTGTAGCAGAATCAATAGACACATGCTTGCATACTTTCAGTCATACCATTTATTTGAGTTTGTGAAATTGAGAGCATTAAGCCATAACAAAAAGAGAGAAAAACAGGTTTTTTGTTTTTTCATTCTTGAATCAAGCCAGGTAACCATGAGTTTCTTGGTAATATCCTTTCTCCATCCTATGGCTTTTGATCACTTAGTTGCTATTGTAGAAGAAATACAGAAAAACAAAAATGCTAAATTTTCATTGTCAATACTAGCTTTCTAAACTCACTATGCAACTACAGGTACTGCACTTAACTAATAGACAACACTAGATATATTGTTGCAGTTTATCCTTGTGATTCAATAAATTTGTAAAACTAAGTTTACTTTTCATGAGTAGTTTGCAATGTCTACATTAAAAGAAAATGTTTTTAATTGATGTATGTTTAACTTGCAGTTTTTAAACTTTACATGGATAAAATAAAATCACCAACAAGGAAATGGAAGTAAAGAATAATATAAATATGTGAAGAAGTATAAAAGAGTTACTATTAATATTTCTGTATATATCTGTAGAGGAAGGATACTTCCAAAAAAACTGTGCATTTCCAGCAGATCCCCACATATAAAAGTTCCAGTGGATCCTCACAAATACAAGTTCAAAACAAGAAAAGGGCAGACCAAACTCATTCTTCACTCCCCTCCACTTTCTTATCACAACCCAAATAGTTACTTTGCCTGTCATTGGTAGGAGGTGTCAGAAATGTTGAGGTCTTTAGTCCTCTCTTTTATTCTAACCAACATACATCCATTCAATCACCACTCTAATTTATTCTACCTTTGTCATATGTTTGAAAATATTTTGGTACTTTCTAGTCATACCTTTATCACACCTTTCCTGTGCCTGTAGTAGTTTTGTAGCTTCACTGGTCTCCAGTTCTGACTGAATCTCCCCACCCTCACCAAGTTATCTCAGTGTAACATGCAAACCATATCGTACCAAATCCCTCTCTTACTACCTCAAAAATTCTTGAACTGTGTCCCTCTTCATGTAGGAGAGCATCTATATTTCTTATCACATAGGCACATCTGAAACTTGTCTTGGTCATGGTTACCTATGTGGATTTTATCACTTAATACTCATAAATTTGAAAATGACTTTTAAAAAGCATTAAAAGTCCAAACATTGGAAACAGAGTCCTGATTTTACATTCAGCCTTGCTATTTATCTGCTTTATATCAATGAAGACATTATTTAAGCAACTTTTCTTACATTCAACATCCAAACCGTCAGTGAATTTTGTTGGTTCGAATTCAAAATTTATCCACAAGGCCGTCTTATTCACCCCTGTTTTAGAGTACCATCTTTTCTTTCTCAGATTATCGCAGTCGATTCTTTACATCTACTCTTGTCATCATACAGGCTGTTTTCAACAAAACAACCTTTCAAAGTGTAAGTCAGGTGCTTGGAATATGAATCATCCACTGATTCATCTCTTTCACTCAAATTAGAACAACTCTGGCTTTCAAAAGCTCCCCAATCCCCACGGGTGTCACTGGTCTGACCTTATCACTGAAGCCCTCCGACTAACTCTTCTCTAGATAAACTGGTCTATTTGCTAGTTCTCAAACATTCCCAACTTATTTTTGATAACCATTTATGTGTTTGGAAAGCTACTACCCATATAATTCTGCTTGGGGTATGCCTGTGTAGCATAGAGTTGATCTGTGGCTGGAATTTAAATGTTCTATCATTATATGTGGAAAAGTCTGAATGTCTGGTTTTGATTTTTTGCCAGGATAAGGGTGGTGGGATTTATGATGGTCTGTTTAAAATTTAAAATAATAAACCTTAGGACCTAGTATTTCTCAGGTCTCCAATGCTTAGTGGCAGATAAGGAAACAGAGACACATAGACTTTAAAAATCAAAGTCAGATATGGGGGAAGAGATGAATAATTAGAATGACCTTTGATCACATCTTTGGTTGAATTTCTGAGCTTCTTAATTTACTCTCAGTGATAGGTCTAACTTGTCAAATACCATTGTTTCTTTACACATATGTATTGGAACTTCAAATAAATATAAATTCCTATTATATCTTTTTTTTTTTGAGTTGGAGTCTCACTCTGTTGCCCAGACTGGAGTGCAGTGCAGTGGCCACTCCCGGCCACTGCAGCCTCGACCTGCTGGGCTCAGGTGATCCTTCCGCCTCAGCCTTCCAAGTAGCTGGAACTACAGGCGCGTGCTACCATGCCCAGCTAATTTTTAAACATTTTTTTCTAGAGATGAGGTCTCACCAAGTTGCCTGGGTGGGTCTCAAATCCACGGGCTCAGGCAACCCACTCACCTCAGCCTCCCAAAGTGCGGGATTACGGGCTGAGCCACCAAGTCCGGCTTCCTATTATATCTTATGATAAAGAATTGTATTGCTGCCTTGAAGAAAGTGTGCATTTAACATAATCTCAATCAACATCCTCAATCAAATGTAAACTCTTCTTTATTCTCAGTCATATATTAGGCTATATTTATTCAAAATTGTAGCACTCTTAGGAGTTTACGCTCCGAAGTCAGATTTCCTTAAGTTAAATCTCACTTCAAAACTTACTTAAAATTCTATATTCATGAGGAATCATTTCAATTCTTTACATTTATTTCTTCATTTCTAAAATAAGGATTACAATATATATAATGCTTTAGTGAGAAAGAATGTAAATGTGGAGAGATGACCTGTGCAAATCTACCAATTTGCATCTTACATAAGGGAGCAGAAGGTACAATTAATTGTTCAAAAAGATTTTAAGAAGACATATGCAGTCTCTTTAAGTCATTTTTTATTACAAAAAATGTTGCCCAATAAATCTCTGGCTACTATTAGTTAGCATTAATTATTTCTAAATAAGTATAAAACAAAATTAGCACCAATTTTTTTTAATCTTATCTTTGTTCTTCCATGTGATATTAACAAATAAGAGTTAGGATGATGAAATAGAGAAATAGTAGTTTTCTCATACTAAGGTACTGTTAACAATTTGAAAAAACAACTTCACAAATTATATCTTTGTTAATAATTTGATGCTTTCAATTTACCTTTAACTCTATGACTGGTTGGTGGCACTATTGCTGTCTTCTAAGATAGATCTGTATAAAAGAGATGACATTAAAAAGCATTGTAATCTTGAGCAGATTCAAAAATTTAAAAAGCTAGACTTTTAAAAAAATTAATCTATTAATATGCATCAAGTGACCAAGTGCAAGCAGAACTGTTAATTTGGAGAGAATGGGTAGACACAGAAGGGGTGATGTCAATCATAAAGCCTTTGAGTGATGAGGGTAATGACTTAGTGCCTGACTATCCAGAGTTCACTACTATCTTTATGTGCTTCAGCTATATTTAATTTCTTAACGCTTACAGCTCTGAAAACACTTATTGCTGCAAAGCTTCAGAATCCGTGACCAGATTTTGTCATTTTAACCAGTGATCCCATACATACATGTCTTCCTTACATGTTTTCCAAAAGTTAGATTTACTTCTAGCAACTATACAGATATTTCAAGATGCCATAAGTAAGAACACAGAAAGACTTATTAAGCAAGCTATTATTCAATTAGGTTAACTAATAACCATTTATATGATGTAAATGTATGGATAAATCATCCAGAATACTATGCTAAATTTAAATAGTTGCTGAGAACGTTGTGATTTAAAAATTAGCTAATTTGAAAAATAGAAATGTCAATAAAAATTTTATATCAGTTCTTTATTTCCATCAACATAAGTGAGAGAGAACCATTTTTTCCTTTAACATGAAACAGGAAGACCCATCTATTTATTTTTACTTTAAAATTTTCACATTACTAATTTTTCACTGAACAAATTATGCCTTGTATTTTTATTACAGTAAAAAAAGCCTGAATTAGAATTTTAAAAACACATGCATGAATAATATTAATTAAGCACAAAATTCAGAGTACTCTGTTCACTCCCTCATTCTGTGCTATTGCCTATTTTTTTTTCTTTAATCTTCCACATGGTCTATTCACAAAATTTTCTTCCCTGACTATCTCTATTTATCTTTTTGGCACAATTAATTCTTAATGAAAGATAAATGGGATTACTTGGGACATCCATAGAACTTCCTCAAACAGTTATGTCTTTCTATGTGGAGGACAATAGGGATTTACTGAGTAGCTTTAATTGTTCTCTGCCCTGTAAGAACATGTAAAATACATAACTACCTGAAATCTGGGGAAAAAACCAAAAATACCAAAAACTGGCATATGCTGAAATATTTTATTCAATTATATGTATATTAATTTTAATTTTATTCATTTGAGACTGAATCTTGTGCTGTCACTCAGGCTGGAGTGCAGTGGCATGGCCATCGGTCACCATAATCTCAGACTCCTGGGATGAAGTGATCCTCTCACCTCAGCATCCTGAGTGGTTGGGACTACAGGCACATGCCCAAGTGATTAAAAGAAAAAACCAAACTGGTAGACATTGGGTCTTGGTATGCTGCCCAGGCAGTCTAGGACTACTAGCCTCAAATAATCCTCCTGCCTTGGCCTCCCATAATGTTGGGATTACAGGCATCAACCACCATGCCCGGCCTTACTCAATATTTATAAACACAGCAGGGCTCGGTGGCTCAGCCTGTAATCCCGCGCCTTTGGGAGGCTGAGGTGAGTGGATTGCCTGAGACTGCGAGTTTGAGACCCGCCTGGGCAACTTGGCGAGACCTCATCTCTATAGTAAATCAAAATGAGCTGGGTGTGGTAGCGGGCGCCTGTAATTCCGGCTACTTGGAAGACTGAAGCGGAAGGATCGCCGGAGCCCAGCAGGTCAAGGCTGCAGTGGCCGGGAGCGGCCACTGCACTCCAGTCTGGGTGACAGAGTGAGACTCCAACTAAAAAAAAAAAAAAAAAAAAAATATATATATATATATATATATTATATAATATATATATATTTATTTATTTGTAAACATAAACCCATTCCATTCAAGAATCTGTATTTGGATTCTGAATTGTATTGAATTATTCCCATAATGCATCTTAATACTAAATTAAAAATAATAAGTTTACTTACCCGCTGCTTACTGTTTCCTCTCTGTTCCAAAATCTCCTTATTTTTTTCCATTTAAAACCAATAATGGCAGTTAAAATTAGTAAAGGTAGAAAAACATAGAAACTGATCAGAAGGCCATTATTTTTAGGAGGAGTACGCTGTTTTACAAGGAAGGATATACTTTTATCTGAAAACACAAGAGTATATTTAAACTTTAAAAAAAATTATGTACAAATCATAATCATAATTTGAATCTTAAAAATTGGGAATTCAAATAATACCATTAAATTTGAATTTAAAAATGCCATTTGAATTTAAAAGTGTTTTTCAATCTTCTGTGACAGGTTCCCAAAGGGCGTTATGTATTTTTTATGTCAACTCAATACAGGTATACATATCATTTATAATATATAGTGAGTGAAAATATATAATATCATTGACATAAATTTAATTATATTTTCTTCATGTATATTTAATCTTTATTTATGTGATATACTATAATCTATTTTAGGCTCCCATGTTGCCCTGGGTGAACCACATTAAGTACATATATTTTATAAGTATCAGCTCCATCCAACTTCAGAACTTTCTCATCCTGTCAACCAGATATTTTCTAACCATTAAATATTAAATCACTATTTCCCCCTCTTGGCCAAGGAATCACTATTCTATACTTAAACTATGCACTTCACTGCTCTAAGCAACTCAGGCAGAATCATACATTTGTCCGTTCTGACTGGCTTCACTTAGCACAAGTTCTTCAGTTTATATTCATATTGAGGCATGTGACAGAATTTTATTTATTTTTAAGACTCAGTAAACTTCTATTGTATATATACATGATATATATACATATATATATATAGAGAGAGAGAGAGGGAGAGAGAGGCAAAGAGAGAGAGGGAGGGAGGGAGGGAGACAGAGAGAGAGAGAGAGAGAGAGAGAGAGAGGAAAGAGAGCACATTTTGTTTACTCATTTATCTGTCAAAAAACATTTGGAGTTTCCACTTTTTGGCCGTGGTGAATAATGCTGCTATAAACGTAGATGCACAAATATCTGCATGAGTGCCTGCTCTTAATATTTCTGGGTACATACATAGATGTGGAATTTCTGGATAATATGATAATTCTATATTTAACTTTCTGAGGATCTGCCATGCTGTTTTCCACAGAGGTTGAATTATTTTACATTTCTACAAGCAATGCCCAAGAGTTTCAGTTTTTTCATATCTTAGTTAACACTTGATGTATTCTATTTTTTTCCTTGTAATAATCATCTTAATAGGTAAGAATAGTATCTCATGGTAGTTTTGATTGACAAAATTAGTCCTTAGTGATGCTGATGTGTGAAAAGCAAATTTTTTCATGTGATTTTTGGCCATCTCTACATCTTCTCTGGAGAAATGTCTATACAAGTATTTTGTCATTTTAAAAATTGAACTATTTGTTTCTTTTGTTGCTGACTTGTATGGGTTATTTGCATATTATGGTCATTAGTACTTCATCAGAAATAATATATCTGTTGTTGTTGACTGTGCTTTTGGTGTCATATCAAAACATCATTGCCAAATTCATTGTTATAAAATTTTTCTTCTATGTTTTCTGTTTGAAGGGTTTATATATTTTACTCTTACATTTAGATTGTTGACTCATTTTGAGTTAATTATTGTATATGGTATCAAAAAGGTTCCAACCTCATTCTTTTAAAGGTAAATATCCCAATGCTTCAATGGTATTTGTTGAAAAGTCTAACCATTCCCTAATGACTGGTCTAAGTATTATTGTTGAGAATCATTGGCCTATATAGACAAGGGTTTATTTCTGGATTCCATGTTTATTTCATTGGAAAACTTGTTTCTTATTCTGTTGCCCAGTGCAATGTATCAACTATCAAGAAGTTACAAAAGAACCTCTGTCTTTTCATTGTAGCTCTAACATGTTGTCATTTTTTTAACATGCCACAATTATACGTGAGAGAATATTAATGAAAATATTACATGAATCATTAATCTCACAAATGCAAAGAAACGTAAAACAACCATCTAGCCTGTAATGATGATTGTCTTAGTCTGTTTAGACGGCTATAACAAAAATATCACAGGCCGCAAACAACAGACATGCATCTCTCACAGTTCTGGAGACTGGGCAGTCCAAAACCAAGTCATTGACAGAAGAAGATTCATTCTCTGGTCTGTGCCCTTTTCTTGATTCACAGACAACAATTTTTTTACCCAGCCTCACCTGGCAGAAGGGACAAAGAATCTTTCTGGGGGTCTCATTTGTTAGGACGCTAATCTCACTTAGGATAGCTCTTTCTTCATGGCCTGGTCTCATTCCAAAAGTTCCACTTTCAAACACCATCACATTATGAGTTAGGGTTACAACATATAAATTTGGGCCATAATACAAATATGTAGTCTGCAAATTATGTTTGATTATCTAAATAAAATGTTATACTACAAATTTTCAGATGATGAAACCATAATTTTTCTTCAAGCCAGAAAAACAAGTCAACAATATATTTCAAAAGGCAAAATAGGTTTGTGAAATTTTCATCCAGTTAGTCATATAATAAGAAGGAATTCAGCAAGAAATTTTTTTATAGTACCTGAAACTTCCTGCATTGTAAAGAAGACTTAGAGTAGTATCACTCCCTTTTTTATAACATTTGAACATGGACATTTATTTAATATGACTCACAAATGAACAAATAATGAAGCTAAATAATAAAGTTAAAAATCACTGAAAGATGTCAGACAGGGTAGGAGTAAAAAAAATTAAGATTATTTTAGTTGATTAAAATAAAATAAAAATATTTTAAAAATTATAATACAAAAAATATAGCAAAATTGTGACCATAAAAGCTGTGCTTTGAAGATAGATGAAAATGTAAGGAAAAGAATCATAAGTAATAGCCACCTCTAACTTTAATTAGTGATGTACTTCAAGAGACCTGGTATTTACAAAAAAGATATGTTTCAGATTCACGTTTGACAGGAGGACTTTGCATTTTAAAGGTATAGGAAATTTTATTTATATATACGTATAAGACTATTAAAATATAAAGTGAAATATTGAGTATTTTATGTTTAAATTTTTAATAAACCTAATTTTTACTATTTTTATTTCCACTTTTCTAAGTTTTCTGTAATATAATTTTTAAAATAAGAGGAAGTTTTGGGACCTACAAGTGAGATGTTTCTATTAAGGGTTAGTTCCAACAAAGTAGAATTTAAAACAAAAATAAATAAAACATATTACAAAAATAATAAAAGCCCCAGTTCACCAGAAATAAATCTTAACTATACATGCAACAATTATTTAAAAAATTAAAGTAAAATGCAAATTGACATAACAAAATAAAAATTAATAGATGTTATGATAGAAGTTTTAAAAAAATTCTCTGTAGTTAACAGCAATAGAAAAAGATCAGAGCTGGGCTCGGTGGCTCTGCCTGTAATCCTGCACCTTTGGGAGGCTGAGGTGAGTGGATTGCCTGAGCCGGCGGGCTCGAGAACCGCCTGGGCAGCGAGACCTTATCTCTACAATAAACCAAAAAATCAGCCGGGCTTGGTAGCGCGCGCCTGTAATTCCGGCTACTTGGAAGGCTGAGGTGGAAGGATCCCCGGAGCCCAGCAGGTCGAGGCTGTGTTGGCCGGGAGCGGCCACTGCTCTCCAGTCTGGGCGACAGTGAGACTCCAACTCAAAAAAAAAAAAAAGAAAAAAAACCAAAGAAAAAGATCAGTTGGACCAATTCTTTTGAAAGTATAAACAACCTTAACGCACCTAAGATAAAATAGATAATATTAATGTTTATATATTTATTAATAAAATAAATCAGTATTTTAAAACTCCTCCCCAAAGAAATCTCCACTCCCATATGAATTTCATTGGAAAATGTAACGAAATATTTCATGAATAAATAATGCCAGTTTTCAGCAATTACTTCTAAAATATAGGAGTAAACATTTCCCCAATATTTTATAATGCCAGTTTTACTTGACAACAAAACAAGATAAAAAATAGTATGAGAGCCGGGCTCGGTGGCTCAGTCTGTAATTACGCGCCTTTGGGAGACTGGGGTGAGTGAATTGCCTGAGCCCGCGGGTTCGAGAACCGCCTGGGCAGTGAGACCTATCTCTACAATAAATTAAAAAATCAGCCGGACGTGGTAGCGCATGCCTGTAATTCCGGCTACTTGGAAGGCTGAGGTGGAAGGATCGCCGGAGCCCAGCAGGTCGAGGCTGCGGTGGCCGGGAGCGGCCACTGCACTCCAGTCTGGGTGACAGAGTGAGACTCCAACTCAAAAAAAAAAAAAAAAAAAAAAAGTATGAGAGAGAGAGAGAGAGAGAGGTGCGATATCTTTCAAGAACATAGGCACAAAAATTCTCAACAGAATATTAACAAGTCAGTTTTACGAAAGTACAAAAATCATGGTCAAGGAGAATTTATTTTAGATATTCAAGATTGACTGAAAATTTAAAATCAACGTAATTCATTGTATCAACAGGCAAGGGCTAAGAGGCAAAAATCATACAATCCTATCAACTGACTAAAGCATTTGCAAAGTCAATACTGTTAATAACAAAACATCTCAGCAGTTAGATATCAAAGGAAATTCCTCAAACTCATAAAGATTATCCACACACATACTTAAAATCCTACAGATAGCATCATACTTAATGGTGAAAGGCTGAATTCCTTCCCCATAAAATCAATTTTAAAGTGAATTTGCTTTCTTAACTCTTATTCAATAAAGCCCTGAAAGATAAAGGAAGGGCAATAAAAATAATAATAAAAGACACACATATTGGAAAGGAAGAAAGAACATTATGCCATCTTCAAAACTGTTTGAAGATGACATAACTTCCTATACAGAAATCTCAAGAATTTACCAAGACACCCTCAGAACTAAAACTGAATTCAATTATATGCAGAATACGAGACTGACATGCAAAAATTAATTGCATATCTATTGATTAACTATGAACAAAACAAAACAAAAATGGAAGAAACACAGTGGCATCAAAATTGCTGTAAAGAAATGAAATAATAAATGTAAAGTATATGGTAGAAGGGGAGATATATTGTGTTTATAGACTGAAAGAGTCAGTAATAGTGGAAATGTAAATTTTTTCTAAACTAACTTACGTAAATCATGGTAAGATTTTTTTTATAAACAAAGAA